TGAGAGAATGATGAAGCTCTCTGGTCTTATGAAGATTTATAGTCTTTGAAACCTCATGGAGTAGTTCCTCCCGGTCCTATAAGTTCACTATGAACGGAGATTCTAGCAGCAATACTTCTAGGCTTATCTTTGTACGTACTTCAAGTTATATGAATTTCTTCATGCAATGAATGCTTATAAACTTTATGACTTTTTATATTACTTTACTTTGTGTTTTTACTTTATTTTTATAAACAATGATATAAAAAACAAAAAAAAATTACTTCTCCATATACAATCTCATCTTTTCCCCCCCAAATGTCATAGCTTCTTTTAAGATGGAAGTCTAAATTTACATATCAGAATTTATTCTGGCATTACTGAAATTTGTATCGGTGATTCTTTAAGGAAATGTATACCAGTGTGATTGTTTCAGTTGCCTTTGAGTTGATTTTTGACTCAGCAGAGCTAACCCACATCACTTCCCCATATGGTTTTCTGGACCATAATCATTATGGGAGATTATCAGGTTTTTCTTCCCCAGAGCTGCTGAGTGAGTTTGAATGTCTAACCTTTTGGTAAACAGCTCAATGCGTTTCTGTTACCTTCTCAGGACTCCTTAAAAGAGTGATTTATAAAGAGTGTATTACACGAATTCATTGGGCTTGCAGAGAATTCAAAGAGATACCTTATTCATGCTGCAAAAGAGTCATACATTTTATAAAACTGCATCATAATGTATAATTAATGGGAGAGAAGTGAGTTAATCTTTGTTTCATGAATAACTTTTGTCTCTTACTTTTAAATTGGTGATATCTATTTGGATATATCCTTCATATAGAAGATAAAGCCCAAACCAAACTCATTGCTATCAAGTCAATTTTAATTCATAACAATCCTGTTTAGGATTTCCAGCTTTGTAAATATGTACAGCAGCAGGCCGTCTCATTGCTCTCCAGCTGGCGCCACTGCTGAGTTTGAACCTTCGACCTAGCAGTTAATCACCTAGCTCCTTAAATGGATGATCATTACCACTAATATCCATATTGGATATACTTTTTTCCAGGACTTAAGGTCATGCTTTTGATACTTAAAGCTCCTTGATGTTGAGTCAGTTCTGATTCGTGGTAACCCTATGTGTCAGAGAACTGCTCCCTAGGGTTTCCGAAGCTGTAAATATTTATAGGAGCAGAAAGCGCAAAGCCTAGTATGTCTCCTGGGGTGCAGCTAGTAGGTTTTGAACTACCAACCTGGTGGTTAACATCTGAGTACCACTCCCACAGAGCCACCAGGGCTTTTAAAAAGGTACTTAGTTGTTTTTAGGTGCTGTCCAGTTGTTTCCAACTCAGAGAAACTCTGCATGACAGAATCAAAGCTCTGCCTGTCTGGGCCCTCACCATCCTCACAATGTTTCCTCCTTTTAAATATGTTGTTATAAATATAACATATATCCGATATGCTGTATTTGATAAAATGCTATTTAGAATGTATGCATCTATTCAGGTGTTCATGAAGAATATTGGTCTCTGTTCCTGTTAGGTACCCTGGATTCGGTTCCGACTGAGGGACCCTGTGTACAAGAGAAGGAAATATCGCTGGGTCCTGTACCATCCTCCCAACTGTTGCTATGTTTTGAGTTCATTGTTGCAGCCACTGTAGCAATCCATCTCTTGAGGGTTTTCCTCATTTTTGCTGACCCTCTGCTTTACCAAGCATGATTCCTTTTCTAGGGACTGGCCTCTCCTGATAACATGCCCAAAGTACATGGCCTCAAGTTTTGCCATCCTTGCTTCTAAGGAATATTCTTGCTGTACCTCTTCCAAGATAGATTTTGTTTTGGGGGGTGGGAGTGGGTTATGTTGGGTTGGGATGAGATGAGGAGAGCAAGGGCTTTCCTAGGAGAATTGCATTGGGATACCTTCCTCTCTTCACTCTTAGCCCTAATGTTGTCCTTTCAGGGTTCTTTTTGGTCTCAAAACTCAAAGAACACTCAAAAAGAAGGTTATTTGAGTCCCTAAAGAGTATCACTTTTATGTCATGTAAATCAAAGAGTGCAGGAATCTTCAAGGAATGCTTAGACAAATGGAAACACAAACTTCAGAAGCATATAGCTATAAAAATATAATAAAACAAAATCCTCCTTTAAAAATATGTGTAGACCTAGACAGAGAGTATGTGAGAAACATTAGCTTCACATTTTGATATTTAATGAGGGTTTATATTATTTTGTAGTTAATATTTTTGGCTTACCCTTGAATATATATATCACACATGTTATTTAGTTGAAAGGATATTTCTAGGAGTAGCTTCAGTTTCAAGTTTAAAAGCTATTTTAGCTAGTTTTGGGGATCCCTCTAATCCAGTGGTTCTCAACCTTCCTAATGCCTTGACCCTTTAATACAGTTCCTCATGTTGTGGTGACCCCCCAACCATCAAATTATTTTTGATGCTACTTCATAACTGAAATTTTGCTACTGTTATGAATCGGGCGACCTTTGTGAAAGGGTTGGTCAACATCCAAAGGGGTCGTGACCCATAGATTAAGAACCACTGCTTGAATCTCAATCCAATAGATACAGACATTTTAAGAAATTGAGTTTTGTACTATAGTCCCTCCCCCCCTTTTATCAGGGTACAAATCTGTGCCCTTAGCAGAATGATCAGTAGTGGTAGCCAGGCACTGTCGAGTTCTGCTCTCAGAGCAGAGGAGACCAAAGTTTGGGTATCCTCATACCATTAGTTTTGTAGACTAATTTCATCTTTGAATCTTTCGTTCCCTACTTTGTCTATTCTTCCAGAAGGGTAGAGATGAATTATTATGACTTAGGTGACTGCCTGTAAGCTTTTAAACCCCTAGATACTATTCCCTAAACTAAAATGTGGAGTTTTGAGCATTATGAATTGTATGATCAAGTTGTTTTGGAGAATATAATCTGACGGCTTCAAACCCAGTAAATCAATCACACAGGCATTTGGTTATGTCTAGAAGTATCTGTAACTGTGCCCCCTATGTACTTTATTATATAAGGGGCAACCACATACATATGCCTATAATGACACTGAGTAGTACTGATGGTAGAGTGGGCTATGCATGGAAACCCCAAAGCGTGGTTCTACTCTTGTTCTACTCTGTCCTATAGAGTCAGTAGAGACTCGATGGCAGTGAGTTTATAGTTACAGTCAGGTTTTAAATCCTTACAGAAGCCTAATTGATTGTGGTGATGATTGTGCAACTCTTCTTAATATGCTTGAACTACGGAATTGTCTGATATGTGAATTATATGCCAATAAAGGTGTTAAAAAGTAAAGAAAAAATCCTTACAGAAGCTGAAAATTTCATCTTTTTCCTGGAGCTGCTGCTGATGGATTTGCACTGCCAACCTTGTGGTTAGCAGCATAATCTTTAATTCACTACATCATTAGGGTTCTGCTTTGCCCTACACGGTCACTCTGAATTGGAACCGAGTTGGCAGTGGATATAGATACACCTATATGTTCACACACATATACGAGGGGTTACCCACCAAAACTGGAATCGTGCTGGGTGGAGTGGAGCTCTCATAGCATGCATTTTTCCTGAATGGATGAAAATGTTGACAGAATTCGTGTGCTTGAAGACTGACAACGGACCATTGAAGAAATGGGGAAGTTATCTGGACTATCATGAAGCTTGGTTCAGCAAATTTTAATGGGAAATTTGGAAATGAGAAGGGTTGCTGCGAAATTTGTGCCTTGGGTTCTGACTGACCAGGAAAAAGAGCATTGAGTGGACATGCTATGATTTGAAAGAAAAGCTCCGAAGTGACCCAGACTTTTTCCCCCCAAGTTCATTACTGGTGATGAGACATGGTGCTATTCTTACGACCCTGAAAGCAAACATCAATTAAGCCAGTGGATGATGCCATCTTCACCTCCCAAAAAAGCTTGTCAAGTGAAATCAAAGATCAAGACGATGCTCATTTGTTTCTTTGTTATGAGGGGGATAATGCATTTGGAGTTCTACCAGTTCAGACTGTTAATCAAGATTTCCATTTAGCGGTTCTGAAAAGATTGTGTAAGTATGTGACAAAAAAGGGCCTGATTTGTGGCAGACGGGACTGGTTTTGCCACCACAACAATACACCTGCTTATGCAGCCATCTCAGTGTGCCAGTGTTTGGCAAAAAACCAGCATGCCTCTCTTGCCTCACACACCTTACTCACCTGACTTTCCTCTGTGCGACTTGATTTTGTTTCCATGAATGAAGAGAGGCATGAAAGAGGACAGTGAATTGTAGACCTAGAAGAGGTGAAGGAAAAAATAGGAGATAGGTGCTGTCAGCTATCCAAACATGAGTTTGAAAAATGTCTCCAAGGATGGAATTGCAGATTTGACAGATGTATTAAGTGTAATGGTGATAAGGTTGTTTTGTAAAAAAATTAAATACATAGCTTGGGGAGGGGGTGGGACTTCCATTTTTCTTTGGGTACCCCCTTGTATAATGTTTTTAGGTCATCATTTGTCTTCATGGCTGTTATTATATTTATAAATATACTAAATTCTTAGAATGAATGGGGAAAGAAAAATTGAAATATATAAAGGGAATATGTAATTCACCTTTCTGTGATTATTTTAATTTTGAGACACTAATTATTTCAATTCTGTATGATGCCACAGGACTGCTATAGCTTTATTTTTTATTCCATCTTTTAAAAAATTCTCCAAATAAAAATTGGTCTATTTCATAACAGCAATAATTATAACAACATTTCTGATAAGTTATTACCTCACATTTGAGCTAAATCCGAAAACCTCGAAGTCATGGTAGTTGAATCAGTTAACTAGCTTAATCTGATGTTCCCTTTTATTTCAGAGTATTTGACATTTCTAATTTCAACTGCCCTATATTTGAAATGAAAAAACAATTTTAGGGAAACCAAATGTGATGGTGTCATTGAATCCTCAAAAGTGTTTTTCTGTTTTCCAGGGCCCTGGAATAGGAAATGCCTCCCTTTCTACTTTTGGTTTCGTGGGAGCGGCACTTGAAATCATTTTGATTTTGTATCCTTTCTTTAAGTAAACATTCTGTCTTTTAACAAGCATTCTGTCAAGTTTTCTGGGACAGTGGTAGTTTACTAAGACACTTGTCTAGAAGAAAAAAAGAACAGGCCAGTCTTCCTCAAATGCCTCAAGTGGTTTTTTGTTTTGTTTTTCCTTTGAGCCCTTAGACTTTGAGAACTTAGGGGTACTTGCATTCTTTTGGAAAGTCTTTTTTCCTTAATTCTCACAGCTATCTTATGGTGTCCTCTGTGGTTGGTTTCTATAGCCTTCGATTTTTTGGAAACTTCACCCCCAAAAAGGATGACACAACTATGACAAAGGTAGCGTGTAGTCTTAGATGATTCTGCCTCCCTTGTGCCTTCCAAAACAAACCGAGTGTTTTATTTAGTAATTGCCCTGAATGGTTCATTTGCAGTGATAGGTATTTGTTTGTAAGTTGCATAAACACAAACTGGAAGATTTTCAAAATGCTGACTGAGCAGGAAAGGATGTGCTCTGTTTAATTTGGATGGCATCCATTCACTTGTAAAATGCATGGAACTGCAGAGCTTGTTAACTAGCTATAGAAAGCTAGTGAAAGGACTTTTCTCCTCTAAAGAAAACGTATTGCTAATGAGTAACTTTGATTGTGCTAACTGTACCTCTGGGAGCTTGTTTGAAATCTGAAGAACTTAGTTGCTACAAGTATTAGAGACAAAGTATTTCAAATTTGAATAATTAAAGTAAAATGGAAGCATCCTATTGAAAAACATTTTGTAGTTTGAGGCTAATTTACTTTCCTCAATATGTTAATTGGCTTCAGAATAATAAAGGCTGTTATTTTATGTCCGAGCTGAATCTTTGTAAAATATTCCCACAGACTGGATAATGAAGACTTACTAACAAGAGCTGCTGGCTTGTTTTCTTATTTTTTCTTCCGTATTTTTAGCTTATTCTAAAGGGAGAAGTTATTGTGTGTGTGTGTAAAGTTTACTTACTTTGTGCTGGCTTTTAAAAAAAAGTTATTGAGATACTTAGCATCTTATATAAGTGCTCATAAGTATTATTAAGTGATATTTTCAGCTCCTCTATGAATAAGGAGTTCTGGTGGCACAGTTGTTAAGTACTTTGTTGATAACTAAAAGGTTATCAGTTCAAACCTCACTGGCCTCTTTGTGTGAGAAAGATGTGACAGTCTACTTCTGTGAAGATTTCAGGCTTAGGGATCATGTGGGGCCGTTCTACTCTGTCCTGGGGGTCTCTGTAAGTCAGAATGAGTTCAGTGGCAATGTTTTATATATATATATACACACACACACACACACACATACATACATACATATACACACACTGTATATATACACATACACACATATATGAAATATTAGGCATGGGATACATTGGATATGACTAATTGGAATTTGGGTTTAGGTTTTGAAAGTTTTTTCTGACTTTGTACATAATAGGCAAGTCTGACTTAAAAATACAGTTTTATTTGACAGGCAGAACTTTATGAAATTGGCAACTTTTGTCAAAAATGCAAAATGCACTGTCTCAAATGTATAGTAATTTGTATTCAATAAAGTTACATTTGTACCTGGTACTATAAATATCTTCTGAAACTTACTGATACAATTTCAAATGTTTATCAAAAAAATTCTCTACTGAGCAGTATCATTAAGAAGTTGGCAGAGCACAATAGGTAACAAGAATGTACAATATTGTCTTACAATGTGATTCAGTTTTATCCTTGTACACATTAATTGCCAAGTATTCTTTCTGATTTTAAACAGATCATTGGGAATTGTGTATCAATCTTGGTTTTGAGTTCTGCACTGCCTGTGATGTCAAGAACACTGGGTAAGTTCAATTTATAAAGTTTTCATTTTCAACCCAGACCTTTTTAAGATACCTCTACTGAATGTCTTGCTCTCGCATCTAAATATTTAAAAAATATCACATTTGAAATATAGTGCTTTTTCCTCCATTATCTTTTGAAAGAAAGACCATTTAGTTTTTAAATGCCTAAAGACTGTTTGTTGGTTTTTTTCACTGACTTGTTAACCCTTTTGCATCTGACTTAAAATAATTTTTAATTTCTAGAAAATGTTTAATTAATTTTTCTTACATAAACTATTTTAAAATTATAATTTAGTATGTAGGTTAAGTTTATTAATTTGTAAAAGTTACTTTTCAGCTGATTTGCACCCATGAAATGAAGGAGGGAGCTCTCACAAAGCATACATTGACTTAAAGTACATATTCATTCCTAATTTAAGTTTGATTTTCTAGTCATTAGAATTTTTTTCTTATTTTTTTTAATTTGCAACGAATTTTGACATATTTCTTTCTACTTTGTCAATAAGATGGTGGGATAACTTCATGTGACCTTATTTTTTATAAAAAGCAATCTTGCAGAATGGTTTTTCAGTTCTGGACTAAATATTCTTTCAGCCATAAAATTTTATTAGGCAGGTATGGTGGATTCTTTGGACTTAGATTTAGATATCAGAGTGTTCATAAAATTTAAAACTCAATCAGTAAAGTCCAACAGCTTGCTGATAGCAAAATCACTGGGAACTTTGAATTGCTTTTTTTTTTTTAGCACTTATATTCTATTATTTATTCAAGAGTCATAAACAAGATCCAGGCTTTGTAGTTATCTTCATAATTCATATAAAATTCTATATTACAATAAAAAGTACAAATATAAAAAAACTGTTCTACAGGCTAATATGAAACATGTTTATCTAATGTTCTTTTGTTTGTTTTTATAGGACTATTGTTATCACATCTGCTTAATGTGGTGTGCTAATCTTGAAAGTGCCAAAAATGTGCACTTTTAAAACATCTGAAGCTAAATGTTATCATTTATATTATAGCAGTCTAAAAATCCCAGCATCTTTTACATTCACAAAACCCATTTTTTTTAAGTTCTATTATTTAAGATTAGTTGTTAATAGTAATATGCTCTGATTCCATGGAAGCAGTTTCCATGCTGAGTATAGTTTTAATACAAAGGAAACAAATTAATGGTAAAATTTACTTTTTGAGACCAACAAATTAAATTCCTGAGTAGTTTGCCATAGAGATAAAGAAAAGAAAAGGGAAAAAAGAAAAAAGGAGAAAGATGGAACAATTAAAATGCAGCTAACAAATGCCTGGACACAGCTGTCCAAACAGGATTAATAGAGTGCATTAGAGTACAGTGAGTCATGTGGTGCTTTGCAAAATATCAACATGCACTGCATTACATGTTATGCCCAATGGCACTGAATAGATGAAAAGAAATAAATACGTTAAACAGATTCATAGAGGCTTTTCACAGTATTAAAAAAGCAAATTTCTAGCCTAGAATAAAAAGCTTTATTTTAGTATTATGGGAAATGCAAACTAGAGAGTTACTTTGTAATTCCTCTATTAACCCTGTAGAATTGAGTCTTTGATTTTAAGAAGATAAAATATAGAGAATTGTCATGAATATTTCCCAGTATATAACGGGATTTTGATTTACTAGCTGAAAAGCTTATAAGAGTAGAGGATATATTTAACAACCACATTCCAAGATGGGAAATTCTTCACTCTATCATTGCCTCTCATAAGTAAATCCTGACCTTGCATGTGGCCCTATTTACTCTTATGAAATCAGCTGGCGGCATCCCATTGCTCATAGCTAAATGAGGAACAAAGTTAACAAGGAAAAAAAAAAGGAAAACTTCATAATTTGCCTCCATGTGTATAGCTTTTATTTCAATAGTTTTTCAATGAAAGACTATGAATTTAATTGTAAACCTGAAAAATCTACTGAATCCACTATGAAATACTTAAATTGGTGATATTTTTTATTAAGAAGTAAAGGTGTTTTTTTTTTCTTTTAAAAAATTTGCCAGCTACTACTGTTATGTGACAGGTATCATAAACTTTAGATTGATGTTTATAGCTCTTAAGTGTACAGTGTGATAGGATGTATGTGCTAAAGAATTCCCGTGAAATAGCATGTTATATTTGCTTGTGGGACATTTTTGTGCCATTTGAAAAATCTCCATGTAGTAAATTTTATAAGCACATCACTTGCCACAGAGAATTAAGTTATGAAGAAAATTGTGACCATGTCTTTTTAGTCATATACAATTATTAACAATGATAGGTTTGTTGTCTATAGGGAAATACAACAACAACAAAAAAAATCTGTGCTTTTTAAAAAGTTTTAAAAAAAATCTTTACCTTTTAAGACCATTTAAAGCTAATACTATGCCATTTGGTAGGAGTTCCCAAATATTGTTTGCTGGTTAGTTAGGCTTCACTTTACAAAATTTTTTAAATGTTTGAAATTTGATGTCCATATTTTCAGTAAATAAGTCATTATTTAGTTTAGTAGACTAGAGGATTAAAAGAGATGCTTAGCAAACAAGGTGAAATAGAACAGGGTCTAACGCAATAAATTATCTGTAAATACTTAAACTTTTCTATAGGAAAATATTCTAAGTGGGTTTACTACACTTAACACAGTTGCAATGAATTTTCTAAGAACAGATTATGTATAATCACTGTACAAATCATATTTTATTATTAAGAAGTATTTAGGGTTTCACTTTTCTTAACATTGTTCTTTATCTGAGATCTTCGTTAGCCAGAGGGATGAGTTTTTCAAATGCATTCAACAGACTTTATAATACTTGTACTAATTTGTATTTTTAAGTTATTTTTATAATTATGTTTTCATCCTGAAGCTCTCAAGACCTAAATGCAGTGCTATATTTGTTGTTGTTTTCAGTGTGCTGGTAACATTAAAATAAAAGCTTGAATGTATTTTATGGTATTATATATTTCTCTTTCTATATCCATATGATTCGTTATTTTGCAGGAGATTATGTGGATTGTTCTTTTTTGTTTTCTTGATGAAGGGGCTCTCTTTAAAACTAGTTGTTTGTTAGAGGGGGTTTTGTATGGGGTTTTGTTAATATTCCTAATTTTTACCCTGGTCTTTCTTTTTTCAGTTCTTTGCGTGTGAAATGGATAAATGATACTTTCACTGTTTAAAAATGTCAAATGTGGGATCAAATTACAAATCATATATTCCGAATTATGACTTTGGTGTAAAAATAAACCTAAGCTCCACATTGAAAATTTCTTGACCCAAACTTTGCCTATCACTTTATTATGTTCAATTATATTACAGAAAATTAATAAATGACTGGTACTAACTAGTATTTAGCTGATTATAATTATTGTGATTTTTCATGAAAAATAGAATTCTTTAAAGTTTTTTTAGTTAATCTTTTTTAATATATAAGCCTCTTTATTAGCACACAATCAGACATCATACAATTCTATAGTTCTCTCTTATCAAGAAATATTGTACAATTACTGTCACAATCAGATTTAGAACATTTTCTTCCTTCTTGCACTCCTTATTATTAGGTCCCTGTTTTCCCCCAACCTCTCCTGCTGGAGCCCCCAGGGACCCTTAATCCATTTATTTTCTCTATAGATTAACCCATCCTGGGTTTCATATACTGGAAAACATAGAAAAATACATAAAGAATCAAGAAGGCTACCAATATTAACAACATACCACAGAGATAAACCCCAGTTTGAAAGAAAACAGAAAATACTAAAAATTAGAGCAAACTCAAAATGTGTCCAAAGGGAGATCAGAATAATAAAGTACTGGATTTTAACCTAGTTACATCAATCATAATTCACTTTCCAATGCCGTCTGTAGTAACAAGGCCACTCATATTGCTGGTCTGTGTTCAGAGAGAATTTGTTGGATGTGTCATCCACATGGGTTTCACCTTTTGTTTAAACTGTTGGTACTTTTATATGGGTCAGAAAGGGGATCAAATCAGATATTACAATATAGCCATTCAAATCAGATGTTTCATTTTAATCTACTTTAATGTCTCTACAATACTCTGTCTGATAACCAAGCTATTCCCATCCATCCATTATGGTCTGAGGAAAATTACTGGAGATTTATATTCTATGTGTAGATGCTAAAAATGTATTTTGGGCTTCCACTGTCATCCATAGCATTTTGCAAACCAGGATTTCACAATTTAAACTCTGATACCATCCCCTCCTTCAGATTTGGATTATATTATTTACAATGGGTGGTTCACACAGTCTGGTGTGCTTCTTCCATGTGGGCTTAATTGACATCTCTTTTAGGTCTGTCAAATGTGTAAGAGTTAAAAGAGTAAGTAATGACAACTCTAGCAAGTCATATTCCCAATATGCTGCACTAGTTTCAGGGCTCATCATACTGAGAACATGTCACATTGATCACACATGATCTAAACAATTTACACACCTGCAGATATGCATTAAAATAACTCGAATTTAACTTTCATTTTAAAATAAGGTTTGCGTGAAAATAATTCCCTTTAAGATCAAAGATAAAACCCATTTTATTAAAAATGTGTCATTTAAGCTATATTATGGATTTAATTTATACCAAGAATTAAAAAACCTAACCAAACTAAATATTCCTAATAATATATTTATATAATCAACTCTAATATAATACCACCTTATTTTTAGAAATTTCATTTTAAATCAATTTAACTATATAAATAAATGTATGCATAAATCATCTTTTTTGTTTAGACCATTTATATTTAATATGATATTAATATGGGTCTATCTAAATGTGCTATCTTGCTATTTCCTTTGACTCCTATTCATGTTCCCACTTCCCACTTTATCTGTATTCTAGATAAATTGAATGATTTTTTAAAATGGAATAATTCCATTTATCTCCTTTGTTGGCCTACTTCCTATAACTTTTTGTTGTGCCATTTGAATGTTTGTCTTAGGGTATTAGTATATATGTTTAACTTATCACAGTCTACGTT